CCATCAGGGCCTGACTGATTTCCCTCACAAGCGTTATTTACCAACCTCGACTTCCTCTTTTGGAGAGCAAAGGATCTAGGTGGAGACGAAGATTCAATCCGGGCTTTCCCATGGATCATGTGGTTTATATGGAAAGTTAGGAACAAAAAAAAATTCGCTAATGAGATGGAAGAACCGCAGGAGACGATATCACACGCGATCCAAGAATCGAAGGAGTGGATGATGGCAAATCTACAAGACAAGACAACCTCAGACGAGGTGAATTCAATGATCATACCTAGACTTCATGTGCCATTGGTGCCCGTATGCTTTATAAACGGCTCTTGGGTGGACTCGGATGCCCAGAGTGGACATGGATGGGTTGTGATCCTAGAGAACAAGATAATACGCATGGGCTTAAAAGGATCACGAAGATGTCTATCACCCCTACATACGGAATTAGAATCTCTTCTCTGGGCCATGAAATGCTTAATAGTAGAGCCCATGCCTACTATTTGCTTTGTGGCGGACTGTACGGATCTGCTCACGATGACTAATAACCAAGAATAATGGCCTTCTTTTGTATCCGAACTTGACAAATTTAGATATTTAAAGTAATCTTTTGTATCTTTTAATATTATTCATATCCCTCGAGCTCAAAATATCCATGCTGATAAACTTGCGAAATGTGCAAGATCACGTAGTTTCTGTTTTTCCCATATAAGTTCGGTGGCTCCACCTTGGCTCTCTTCTGAAGAAAGCCTCTATCTGATAACTTAATAAAATGGTGTCTTTGATGTTAAAAAAAAACTAGATATTTGATTAATGATTATTATGTAGATACACTGTAAACATCTATACTAAATAAAAGGAACTATTTGGGGCTCCTTAAGCTATCCACCTCAGCTTTTCAAACTACTCTAAAAATATGACACATCAGCAAAAAATAATAATACAAATTCTCACTTTAGATTTTTTTGAAATACACATAAAGTAAATAAATAGAACCAAAATTAATATAGTTAAATATAAGAGTAAATAAAAATAAAATATTATTTTTTGAATCAATAAAATAAATATTATTTAAATCTATAGCATCAATATATACTCTTTTGTTTGTAATATAACAAATTAACAATAATGAAAATTCTCACTTTAGATTTTTTTGAAATACACATAAAATAAATAAATAGAACCATTAAATTAATATAGTTATTAGCAAAAACTAAATAAAACTATATATCATTTTAATCAGTAAAATAAATATCATTTAAATCTGTAGCATTAATATATACTCATTTTTGTCACTAAAATTAATATAGTTACGAACAAAAGTAAATAAAATTAAAATATCATTTTTTGAATCAGTAAAATAAACATCATTTAAATTTATAGCATCAATATATACTTCTTTTGTTTGTAATATAACAATAATAAAAAATTTTACTTTATATCTTTTGAAATACACATAAAATAAATAAATAGAACAACTAAGTTAATATAGTTATTAGGAATAAGTAAATAAAACTAAATATCATTTTCGAAATCAGTAAAATAAATATCATTTAAATCTGTAGCATTAATATATACTCCTTTTTGTAATATAGTGAATATATTGGACAAGAAATTGCTCTAAAAAACTTAAATAATAGTTAATAGAAACAAGATTACAAAATAATAATTTCTAAAATAAAATTTAAAACATTTACAAATTATAAAAATCTAAAACATTCACCTTTTAGAAACATAAAGATTAAATATCATAATACGTTAGATTTATGACAACCAACAAGACAACATAAATTATAGAAAGCTTTTCAAAGCATCTATCTATATGAAGATTTCGATCATCGTTACTATTTACATTGCAGAAAATGATAGACAAAAGAAAAATTTCATGCACTGATATTTATTCAATGTGTCTCTTAGTTGGCTTAAGGTAGTCAAATTACTACAAGCGATACATGTCAACGCATGAGTTAAACAGTTTATAAAAAAAAAATAAGTTTTAGATGACAGTTAATTTTTATATATATCAAGTTAGTAAATTTTTAAATTAAATAATAATGCATTTTTGAAAAATTAACATACACATTTTTATGTAGAAGAAAATGTCTAAAAAAATTTCTAATTATCCACATCAACAAAATTCCTTATAAACCCAACTTGAATGAAAAACTAATATGGTTTTTTTTACTGGGTTAAGAAACTCCTTTAAAAATAATACAATATATATTATTAGTTTAATTATAAAGGCTCATCAAAATATATATGTGTAGTTTAAGAAAAAATGTTTAAGTTAAATTACAAGCAAAATTTTTTACATCTTTTGAGTTTTGAGAAACTCAACATACTTTATTTAACATAATGAGTTAGTATGAAATTGTATTTTTATATGTATTACTTGCCTTATTCATCTATATTTTTTATAGTTTACGTATACTTCATATATCAAATCAAAATTGCATTTTATCAATATGATTGTGATTTTTTATACTATGTAAATATTATTTTTATTTATATGAATCATAGTTATTTTATAGATTTATAAGAGATTAGAACATTGAGTGTTGTTTGTATTTGAGATTGCTAATTAAATAAAAACACTACACGAACACAGTTGAAATAAAAATAAAAAAACTAAATTAATTAAAACAATAATAATCAAATTTAGTCAAAACAAAAAATAATTTTAATAATATTTTGAAAGTTAATAGTGAATAATAGTGAGTTTATATACAAATATTAAGTTTTAGATTAACAGTTAATTTTAGCATATATCAAGTAGGTAATTCTTAAAATTATATCATGATACATTTTTTGAATATATTAAAATATTTTTGATGTATAATCATATCAAAACAATTTTTAAAATTAAATATTATATTTAAAATATTAACTTAAAGTAAAAATAATTTAACTTAGATAATAATCAAATATCTATATAAAAACAATCTACGCGTAGCGCGGAAACATCCCTAGTTTTAATAAAAGGAGATATACAAAACGATGGAAGAAGATTACATCTTATTAGTGGCTATTAAAACAAGGTAAAATTATTACATGTGCATATAATTTTAAATTTTAAATCATGGGTTTTGTTAATTTAGTGTCCAACACCAGGACTAGGACCAGAGTCTTTGGCTCGTCCAAACTTCTTGAATCCCTTGGCTCCATGATGCCCAACCCCAGGGCTTGGCCCGGACTGTTTCACCGTGGCTAGCCACGACAAATCTTGTACAGAGGACTCGACTGGTTGAAACGTAGACATTACACTTCCGTTGAACACATGTGAGTCTCTAAATTGGGTCAACGCTCTCGAGCCATACTTGACGGGTCGTCCTTCAGTGGTTAGTAACACCGATCCCACCATGATCACAACAACGAGAAACGCTAGGTCGAACTCGATGCGGTTCTTAGCCATCACCATGATTAAATGATATGTGTAGTAGTTCACGAATTTATTAATCTCGATATGTAGTTAATATGGTGTTCATGATAAAGTTTAAGTATAGGGTTTAAGAGTATTTATAGTGTATAAGAAAGATGAGCGTCGGGGAAAAAAATATCAGTGGATGTATTATTTTCCTCTTTATCTTTTGGAACTACTGTAGATTTGCCGCCACCTCTTTAAATTTCAACAATGAGAGATCAATATTCACGTAAACAAAAGTATTAAGTTTGGCTCACGTAAACTAAAAGTATCGAGTTTGGCTTCAAGAGAGAATTGACATTATACTGTTACGTTGATAGTTATATAATCTAACTATATATTGGCTTTCAACTTTACTTGATAAATAACATTTTCACAAAACCGCAGCGCTTACTACAAGTTTAAAACAATACCAAAAAAAATTTTACCAAGAAAAAAAAAATTGTGTAAAAAAGTGGACTGATGTAACTAAACCATTTAAAAAGAAAATATTGACTATTCAACTAAAATCCGTAAAATAAATTTTGTTTTGTTACTAAATTTATTATATAATTGAATTTAAACCGTGCATACTATTGAAATTTGATTGGTAATAAGCTGCAAAATCACATAATTATTTCAACATAATGCTAATATCCTATCAAAAGCTTTGACATATTGTTCTAGCTTTAAGCCATTCTAGCCATCAAAAAAATTATACTATTCACTATGATACTATTCTTTGTATCATTGTCGTGACTTGGGGGACTTTGCGCTCGAAAACCTCACACTTGTAACTACTTTAGTTAAAGTGTTTTGGTTTGTTCAAATAATGAGATTTTCTAACAAAAGGAATTAAATTTATGGCTTATTGACTTTAAATAGTCAAATACCTTTTGATGAGATTTGTACATGAACCTACCTTACTTGAGACTCACAGATTTTTTTAGGTAAGCTTCCATTATGTTTAAGTCGAAGATTCTCTTTTATAATCGTACGTCACAGTTAGCTGGCCTAAAAATAGCAAATGTTCAAAACAGTACTAAAATTTGTGACTCGTCTCATTTTTTAGTTTCTGAACTCTAATGATATTAACTCTGTAAAATCAACATGAAATTATATTAAATAGTGTTCAAAAGATCAAATTAAATTATATAATGGGTTTATTAGTAATATATATACAACTTTATCAATAATCAATATCTTGTAATTGTTCTCAGATTTGAAGTAATAAACAAAAAGTAAATTGGCAAACTATTAACTAAAATAATAAAAGTGGCAAAATAACAAATTATAATTTCAATTTTGAAAATTTAAGATGCTGACAAAAAATATACATTATAATAAAATCTAATGGTTTTAATTACTAGTTACACCAATACAACATTGTTGAGGATATAATTTAATGATTAGTTAGATATTGTTATCCGATATTTAATTTTATATTGATTCTTTTAATTTTCTTTTTTTGATGAATGATCCTATGATGCTTGGAATATATTTTTGACTCAAAATCTTGCTAGGAATATTCTAAACACCAATGACAGCACCTTCATGATGTTATGTGTTCTTATTATACAGAATGTACACACTTGATGGTTTTGTAGCCCTATGAATCAGCGAGCAAAGGGATGTGAGATACAGTCGTTGGAAGCTGAAGAGGGAGAAGACCTTGAACCGCAATGTATGTCGCGATACCAGCAGCATAACCAACAAAAGCAAAACCACTCACCTGCACGAAACATTATAAGAAACAAAATACAAACAAAATTTTGTTACCTATCTCTGTCCCTCTTGTTATGTTGAAAGCGAGCCAAAAGATGTATCTCAGTCTCACCTTACGGAAGTACCAAAAGAAATCTACTTTCTCCATACCCATGAAGGCTACTCCAGCAGCAGAACCAGTGATAAGTATGGAACCACCGGTTCCAGCGCAAAAGGCAATGAGCTGCCAAAACCTAGAATCTTGAGGGAATGTTGAGAGATCATACATCGACGTTGTTGCTGCGACCAATGGGACATTATCTACGATGGCTGATACAACACCTATAACACTTGCAATGAGTTCAACATTTGATATATGTGCATCAAGATAGTTGGCAATCTCTCTGAGAATCCCAGCCGCTTCAAGACTGTATAAAAAAGACACAACATTATCAATCTCTCACACAATCGAAAAAATGTATAGAGTTTTGTCCAAAGTTTCACCTGCTGATGGATAACAGAATCCCTAGGAAAAACAGAACTCCTTGTATGTCAATTTGAGACAAAGCATGAGGAACTTTTAGGTTTTGTCTCTCTAAGTCACCGTAATGGATCGCATCTGTCAAGATCCAAAGAACTCCAACACCCAACAAGATACCCATGTAAGGAGGCAGCCCGGTTAAAGACTTAAACATTGGAACTAAAATCAAAGCTCCAAATCCAACTCCAAATACAAGTTTTCCTCTTGGAGCAATCTGTTCAGAAGCTAGTAATAGTCTAGGAGGAGTACTCAGTCTCATTCCGTTTACTTCACTGAGAAAAACGAAAAGGAAAGCGAAAGGTCGCATCAATCTTGGCATTGAAAACACACTAAAAAGAACGTTATAACATTTGAGGAACGTAAGAAGAGTTTATAACCTAGTTAATGACATGAGAGCCAATGGAAAAATGATAGAAACCGCCGAAGGTAAAATAAGATTCTGAAAATAAGACTTCCATCATCAGTAATATTCAATTTCTTTAATGAAACAATTCGAAATGAAATCTGAATAACCTTCATTATCGAAAATGATGATATATGGCCATGTATCCATAACATAGTTGTAGTAACATCACCAGTAGGAGTCCAAGCTCCTCCTGCATTCGCTGCTATTACCACAACTCCTCCTAAAAGTCTTGCCATGCATAGGTTATTTTAAACATACAAACTAACGTTAAATCGACATCACATATAGCTCCATGCATATAAAGATATAAGAAAATGAAATTTCTCTCAAGTCAATGTCATCAACTGGTGTTTCCTTGAATATATTTCCTCATTGGGAGTAGCTTTCAAGCCTCAAATCAGAAAACTAACAAAACATAGGGTACAAATATTAGGGTTTCCTTACTTGCGGTATTCCGATGGAGGAACCAGCTTTTTCAGAAGAGAAACCATAACAATAGTAGTTGTTAGGTTGTCAAGAACCGAGCTGAGGAAAAATGTCACAAAACCAACCTGAAGACGAAACCACAAAGCCAAAGTCAAGATAATGCAAGAGGAAAATCAAAATGACTAACTAAAATGAGAAAATTCTTGTCCTTAAGAAAAAAATTGAAAGCAAAATTAATAAAAATCAGAAATGGAATAACAATACCATCCTTAAAAGTAATATTGGTTTCCGGGTTGTTATATAATCTGTAATCAGCCTAAATCCTTGGTGAGCATCAACTATCTCCACAATGATCATTGCGCCGAGCAAATAGAACACTATTTGACTAGCTTCAATAGTTGCATGTTGAAGCTCTAAAACAACAATTACAAGAGAAGGAGCCTGTAAACATGTTATTAACATTATTAATCAAATAACTTTAAAGCTATATCATTTTCTAATCTATTCTGAATTTCATTTCTTACCCCGAAGCTTCGCACAACCCACAAACTCACGGCCATCAAAAGTCCTATTCCACTTTTATTGATAGAGAAGGATTCTTCGAAGATGATCACAACATATCCTATTGTAAACAATAATTCCATAATCATATTTTGTATCATGGTGTTGTATCTAAATAGCTTATGACTTATTCTGCATTTGATCGATCAATTTTTTCTTTCTCGAAACAAAGTTATGTAAGATAAAATAATTATCAAGCTAGAAAGCCTAGAACTTTGACATGTCACATTTTTACTAGATTTTATCTTATAAGCCTTAATTTCTGTTTAACTAAAGTAAGAATAAATATACTTTTAACAAATTTAAAATTTAATATTATTTAATTAAAATAAGAAATAAATATCCAAACATAAATTAAAAGATCATGATTTACACTAACAACAGATGTAGAAACGAAGCAATAAATACTTTAACCGGAGTTAAACCGAATAAATATGGGATGGTTTGGTTTGGTTTGGTTTGGTTTTGGCAACACCAACGATCGATTATCGAAGGCGTGAGTATTGCCGTTTCGTTCCTGACTGTTGTGATGACTGCTAAAAGAGAAAGATGTGAAGCCAAAACCAAATTGAGAATCTTTGGAAAAAAATCGAACCTTTAAAAACTTGATTTCACCACAACTATCTCTCTCTCTCTCTCTCTCTCTCTCTCTCTCTCTCTCTCTCTCCACGCTGCTTGAAACTGAAGCTGAGAGCCAAAGATGTCGTTTGAGGAGTTTAAGCCATTAAGCGAGGAATCTCTTGTAGAGTACATAAAGGCAACGCCTGCTCTCTCCTCCAGGATCGGAGACAAGTACGAGGATTTGGTTATCAAGGAAGTCGGAGATGGCAATCTCAACTTCGTCTTCATCGTTGTCGGATCCACTGGTTCACTCGTCATCAAACAGGTTCGCTTCTATCTCATCTAAAGCGTAAGAGATTCGTATCACTTTGTTTCAAAGTAGCTATTGGCCGGTCTAAATTAGGAATTAGGGTTTATCTTTTGTAAATTGAATCTCTTTCCAGCTTTCCGATGATGGGTTTTCGAGCTCAAAGCCTTCGTTTTAAGACCTAGTTTATATGTCGTCTCTGTTGTTTGCAAGTTGGTTTCTTTGACTTGATGTTGCAGAGACTGTAACTCGAAATGATTCAATTTTTATTCACATTTCAAAGATTGTGCCTTTTTTTTTAGATAAAGTTGCTTATAAACTTCCATGGAGATGAACAAGCTTTGATTTTTCAAGTAGTCAGATTGTTGATTACGGTGCCTTTGTTTATCATCTCCTTGAATCTAAATAGGCGCTTCCATATATTCGCTGTATTGGGGAATCTTGGCCAATGACGAAAGAAAGAGCTTATTTTGAGGCAACAACTCTGAGAAAGCACGGAAGTTTATCTCCGGATCATGTTCCTGAAGTCTACCATTTCGACAGAGCAATGGCTTTGATCGGAATGAGATACCTCGAGCCTCCTCATATCATCCTCCGCAAAGGACTCATTGCTGGAGTTCAGTATCCGTTCCTCGCGGACCACATGTCGGATTACATGTCGAGAACTCTATTCTTCACTTCGCTCCTCTATCATGATACCACAGAGCACAGAAGAGCAGGTTCTTGAACTCTTTTTACAGTATCAAAGCTAAAATTAGTTGCCTGTGGTGATGAGCTTAGAACTCAGAGATTGATTCTCAAATAACCTGGTTTTGTTCTCTGTGTAGTAACCGAGTTTTGTGGTAATGTGGAGTTATGCCGATTAACGGAGCAAGTTGTGTTTTCGGACCCATATAGAGTTTCCACATTTAATCGTTGGACTTCACCTTATCTTGATGATGATGCTAAGGCTGTGCGCGAAGATAGCGCCTTGAAGCTCGACATCGCAGAGCTAAAATCTATGTATGTGTGTTGCTACCATTTCTCAGGGGTTTCTATATTACAGCCTGCTACTATATCTAAAACCACCAATCTGTACTTTGTTTGATAGGTTCTGTGAAAGAGCTCAAGCTCTAATACATGGTGATCTTCACACTGGCTCTGTCATGGTTACACAAGATTCAACTCAAGTTATAGATCCTGAGTTTTCGTTTTACGGACCAATGGGTTTCGACATTGGGGCTTTTCTTGGGAACTTGATACTCGCTTTCTTTGCACAAGACGGACACGCTGCTCAGGAAGATGATCGAAAAGTAAGCATCATGTATTCAGATTTGCCGTTTTTCTCTTTCTTCTCATCATCGGTTTTAAACTAAAGAAACCTAACTCTACAATGCAGGAATACAAGCAGTGGATCTTGAGAACCATTGAGCAAACTTGGAATCTGTTTCACAAAAGGTTCACTGCGCTATGGGATCAGAACAAAGATGGGCCCGGTGAAGCATACCTTGCAGATATCTATAACAATGCCGAGGTTTTGGAGCTTGTTCAAGAAAACTACATGAGGAATCTGTTGCATGACTCACTCGGATTCGGTGCTGCAAAGATGATTAGGTGAGAGAATGATCTAATAATATGACACGTCCATTGCAATCCCAAACATGTTCTGAGTTTTTTTGGGTTTGAATGTATGACAGGAGAATTGTGGGTGTGTCACATGTGGAGGACTTTGAGTCGATCAAGGAAGATAAACGACGAGCGGATTGCGAGAGAAGGGCGCTTGAGTTTGGGAAGATGCTTCTCAAGGAAAGGAGAAAGTTTAAGTGTATCGGTGAAGTTGTTTCAGCAATTCAACAACAAAGCTGAGTCCTTTTTTGTGTTCTTATGCTAAAACCAGAAGAGTTCTTAAAACTTGAAAGTTTCTTGCTTTGATGATCTTTCTTGGAGTTGCTTGTCATTGCCATGAAAATACCACTTTTTAAATAAAATAAACACAATATATCTGTTATTTTCAATATATATATTCATTTTTCACTCATTGTGAAATACTACAAAGATCTTTAAATTGAAAAGAAAATAATAAAAAAAGGCTGAAATTTTGAAAAGCTTTGCCACTTTTGTAGTATGATTTGGCTTTGGCAGTTTACTGGTTCACTGTCGGTGACAAGATAGCAGGTGACCATAAATCAGCACCGTTGGTATTCTCCACGTGTACGGTCCAGTCTAATGGTACAAGACATAGACCATTGCTTTTCAACTCTTTGACTTTCGTCGTCGGGTTTATGTCTCCGTTGTCTTCGTCGTCCTGAAGACACATCAACTATTCACAAGTCACCGTACCGTCAAAATAGTCGTTTTTCAAGTTTTATACAGTCGCTTCGAATCATGGAAAAGTAAATATCTTCCGATTTTGTTGATGAACTAGATGTAATACAAAACGATGACTTACAAGAGGTTGATGTTTCAAATACGGTGAAGAAAGGACTTGAACTTGGTCTTGTAAGAACTTTATGTAACCCATTGTTTCATGCAACACTGATGCTGTATCTGTCTATTCCAATTTTCCCAGTTACATTTTAATTAAAATGAGCTAATAATAATCGTTATTATCGAAATACACACACACATACCTCAGTATTAAATTTAGTTTAGTCAGTAAATAAATAACTAAAAGTACGGTTTCAAACTAAGAGTGAATATCGACTTTTACAAGTGCTGTAATCAATTATAGTTCTTATAATAATTACAAAGAAAATCCGAACTTATAATTACACTGAAAATAAAGCAATTTCCATAATTACATTGAAAATAAGTTTTTAAGACAAATATAACAGAGAAATTTTCACTCCTAATATTTTTTATTTGAGTTTTTCGATTTTACCCTTTAGGAAAACCTTTTTAAATATTTTTTTCTGTTAATGTTTCGTAATTTTTTTAGGAAGGTCTTCCAAATATTAGAATTTAACATCGTTTCATATGTTTTAAGAAAGCTTTCCTAAATTTTTTAAAATTTTTTGAATTGTGGAAAAGCTTCATGAATTGTGGAAGGATTTCCTGAATTGTGGAAATACTTTTTGAATTTGAGTTGTATAAATTAACAAAAATAATAATCAATTATAATTTACAAATGCATTCTCCAATACATGTAGGGCTTGATTGGTAACAAGTGTAATTTTATGTTTTTACTGTAGAAATGTGGCTGTAGGTTTTTTGCTGTAGCTGTAGATTTTATTTCTTTAAAATTTTGACTGTAGAATTGTAAAATTTGGAAAGCATAAATTTATGTGTTTTAGAAAATAATGTTTTGTACAGCCAAAAAATAAAAAAGGAAATATTTTGGCTGTGAGCAAATAAAAGAAAGACAGAGTTTATAAAGCATGATTGGTATGATTTAGAGCTTTAAACATAAATATTGCTTTGTACAACATCTACAGCAACAACCAATCAAGCCCGTAATGACTTCCTTAATTTATATATTTTAGGAAAGTCTTCCTAAACTTTAGAATATCTTCCTAAATTTACGTTCATCTCTTTCTCCACATCTACAATATCCAAACCCTAATTTTCGCCGATTTTTGTTTTTCACCATTGTTGTTGTTTTAGTTTGGGTTTCTTGAGTATTTTACCCAATTATATCAGATTTATCTATCATTATATGATTTTGAGCTTTAAATACCGAAATCACTTTTCCATAAAAAAAACTCCAAAAATCTAAGAGATTCGCAATCACAAATCACAATCAAATGAGAAGATTGATCCTAAGCAAAACAAATGATTCGATTTCAGATCAGTTTTGGCCATTGATACATTTGTTTGTACAATATTTTTTCTTCTCTTTTTATTAATTAATATTTTGTCTAAGTAAGATTAATATAGTACAAAATGTTATGGAAGGAATTTTTTAGAGTTTTAGTGTATATATAGAACAAAAACTTAAATTAGATGCATTTCAGGGAATTTCTCAAATAGAGTTATGTTTTTTTTTGGAAAATATAAACTAGTTATGTTATTAGGAGATATAAGAAACGGAAACAAACAAAAAAAATGCAGGGATGAGCTTGGTTAGCAAATCACCTTGCCATATGGAGAAACCAACTGCTGCAACGCTGTGATTTTTTCACCTAACTTTACTTTCTTCGCCTATGTTTATAATTAAATTTGTTAATTAGTATTATTCACGCAAACAACCAAATTGTTGCATAATTGCATATAAGTATACACACTAATATATATTTATTCATAATTTACAAGCCAAACCTTAGCTTTCCCAACCGATGACTTCTTCTGATCTCGCTTGCACCTCTTTGCGGGTTTTGAATCGCTGAGACGGTTTTGCTCATCACTCGACCCGGTTATCTTCTTCTACCAAAAATAGACATTCATAGCAAAACTCAATATGACAGAAACCCGTTAACCAAAAAAAAAAATAGAAACATGAAAATGAAAAAAAAAGGATTAATTGGTTAGATTATTTGCATCATTGCATGCAACTATATATTGATTAGTTCTTATAATATACTAGTATTAAACTTTATTTTGCTTCTATTACGGAAAACAATCGTTAATTGACCCTTGTTTTGTCCCCATTAATTGACCCTTAAAATTTAAAAGTTAAAAAAGTAAATACATAATTACTTCTTTGATTATAAAAGCTTACATTGGATCTAGAAGATATACCATCGACCATGCAGGCGTTATTGAGTGAAGAGACATGAGAAGCAGTAGAGTCTCTACACGGAACAGAGGATTCTGGAAAGAGCGATTCGGCATCGTTTTGGTTCCCTCTGCCGAAACAGAGCATTTGAGGATAATCTCTTCCGGTGAATCCGAAACCAAAACTGTCTTCTCCATCGTCGCCGGAGACAAGGACATCTTCAGACAGCATAACATCAGAAAAGCTCGTGACTCCATCTTTTTCCTCCATCGTCGTGCCTCTCATTGTAAAAGTTATTGAGATATTTTCTTTCTTTCTTAAGCTTGTTCGTTGAATTTATGGGAGATAGAAAATGGGTGTGTGAGAGAAAGAAACCAGAAGAATATAGTGTCAATAAATGTATTATAACGGCAAAAACTGGAGAAAGGCTCTACTCCATATTTCTGTCATTAATATAACTAGTTATTTATCCGTGCTAAGCTACAGGAGATTTTGTATATATTGTATTATGATTAAATTATTTTTATAATGTATATAAGTATTATATTTATTTTTTATTAGCTTAAGTTATGTATTAATATGTTTTAAATTTGAATAAACATTGTATATTTTTAATTTTTTTATTTTTAAAATTATAATCTGCTATCAAATTTGTTTAACTAACTATCTATAAATATATATGTACGAATAAAACAATACATTTTTAAGTACTTTCACACTAATGGCAAATGTAAAACATTTTCTCTACTAAATTACCACTTGATCCTCTTTTAAAATTATATAAAGCAAATTACCATTTAAAAAAATATTAATTAATATGAATATTTTGAATTATAACATTTATTTATTTATCAAATATTTATTATAAACATATGTTTCTAAAACTACCAAACTATAGTCAATAACATTCGTATCAAAACAATTGCTATTGTTTTAGAACTAAATAGAAAACTCTGTTTGAACTGTTGAAATATCAATTAATTTAGTTGAAATTAAATAATTTAATTTTCGTTACTATAAACATATTGTAACTTGAAAATTTAGCACATAGAAATTTATATTTTTACAAAAACTGAGAAATTGATTTTTCTGACAAAACAAAAAAGTTCCATTTTCCCACGAAACTCAGAAATCGCCTATTCCCATCAAAACGAAAAAAATCATTTCTCGTCAAAGCTGAAATTTAATTTTCCCACCAAAATAAAGAAATTGTATTTCTCCGCACAAAAAAAAACACAATTTTCCCGTAAGAACCTGTGTTTTTCCGCCAAAACAGAGAAATCAAGTTTTTTTCACCAAAATCAAAAAATTTCATCTTCCTACAAAAACCAAAAATCATATTTTCCCGTCAAAACCGAAAAACTATTTTTTCCGCAAAAACCGCGAAATTGTCTATTCCCGTCAAAACAAAAAAAAATATTTTTTACTCGTCAAACCAAAAATCACGCCTTCCTACCAAAACCGATAAACTACAATTTCCCGCGAAAACCAAAATTGCTTTATCTCTTGAGAAATTGTGTTTCCCGCGAAAACTAAGAAATCGCATTTTCCCGCGAAAACCAAAAAATCACATTATATGTCAAAAACTGAAAATTTGCATTTCCCATCAAAACCGAGAAATTGCTTATTCATGCCAAAATCAAAAAATTTTGTTTTCCCATCAAATCAAAAAATTGCATTTTCTGCCAAAATCATCAAATTCCAATTTCCCGCGAAAACTAATAAATCACATTTTTCCGCGAAAATCAAGAAATCACATTATCCATCAAAAACCAAAAATTTGCATTTCCTATCAAAACTGAGAAATCATATTTTTTGTCAAAATTGAAAAGTTTCATTTCCCTCGCCTTTTCAAAATCAAAATTTTTTTTTCTCACCAAAACTAAAAATTCACATTTTTCCACCAAACCCAAAAATTCGCTTTTTCTGCCACAACCGAGAAATTATGTTTTTCTACCAAAACTGAAAATCACATGTTCCTACCAAAACCATGAAATTCTCTATTCCCACCAAACCCAAGAAAATTTGTTCTCGGTAACCACCGGAAATGCGAATCTCTAAGCTGTGGTGGTCTGAGCTTCTCCTCATTTGCTTTCGACTTCTATTTTTTTGTAAACTTTGAGGTTTTTAATGGGTCAGCAAAATAGTAAACTGATTTTATTAGTGTGTTAATGATATGTATTATTGTTATGTTTTTATTGGTTCAAATTTTTGTTGATGTGTGAGCTTTTTATAACATAACGCTTTTTGCGTTGTTGTTATGGAAGCATAATTGATGATGAGTCTACACTTTCTTTAATCCTATAAGTCGCTATCAAGCGAACACATAGTTAAAAATTTTAATTTTTTTTGCGGTTATTTATTATTTGATTTTTGGTTTGGCAAAAATATAAAATAAAGATTTAATGTTTTTATTTGTTGTTATTTATTATTTGGATTTGAGGATGGTAAAAAATAAAAATTTTTTTTTTTTGCTGTTATTTATTATCTGGGCTTGAGTTTGGCAAAAAATAAAATAAAGATTAACAAAAAAAATATTTGAGCTTTTAATGGGTTTAAGTTAAAAATAATAAAAGTTAGTAGATGATGTGTATTAATAAAATGTTTTGATTGATTGTTAATTTTGCTGATGTGTCAGTTTTTGGTAACTTGAAAAAACTGAGTTGTCAAGTTATGGAGAGACTTTAGTGTTATTGTTGTGTTGATTGGACAAACTGTATTATTGTTGTGTATAAACTAAACGATATACGATCTCTTGATACTAAATTTCTTGTTAACTTATTTTTTTTACTATTATATAATTACAATTTTGTTTTTTTTCTACCAACAATTTAGTTACTTAGCGTAAGTATTAAATATAGTATTAATTTATAGGGGTAGAAATAGAATTTAGAAAAAAATTGAAGAGACTTGGGTCAAAGGCAACTTGGCCCGAGAGAACTGTTGGTTTCGATTTACTCGAAATGATGTTTTAGTAAGTGCATCTGCTGCTGCTTTCGGAAATTTGATCATTAATGTAATGTTCCATAGTTTTTAAAAAAAAAATTGAATAAGAAAGCTACTAAAACTGAAATTTCAAAATGAAATCCATAATCCATAATTCGAATTAATAATGTACTCATGAGTCAAACTCGTGAATCTGCCAAGTTAAGTTTTTCACCTTACGGCCAAAAATGGTGGAAAAAGTAAGACAGGTGCAAATAAGAGTGAGGCACGTGGGTGAAAGAGAGCTGCTAAAATGCACAGTCAAGTTTTCATTTCGGACATAGCCTACGCCGCGTAGGCTTTATAGACGACTCGTCAGTCACTGTGTCTGTTTCACTTTTTATTTCTGCCACAAATTCTCACCAAATAAACTCTCTTTTTTTTTGGTCAATCATCGGAAAATATGAGGAAATTGTGTTTTGAGTTGGGAATAAATGGATCAGAGTTGTAATTTTTATTTTTGGCTGAGGTTAAACTAAATAATTGTTCATCACCCGTATCGATACGTAGAAATAAACATTAAGTTTGTATAAACAAAATGTTCAAAATTTTGTAAAATTAGTTGATGGTTTGACGTTTTGCTCTGATATAAACATTTGGTTGCCATTTTTCGGGTAAAACACATGAATTAATCAAAAACAATGGGGATTCAAGCTCATATAAAACTTAGTAAAATAAACTAAGAAGATTGAAAATAAGATAGCTATTTGGAGTTTTATTTAAGTAAAAAAAAAACAACGAAATAGAAAACAATTTGGGAGATGGATCATCTATGTTTTAGTCTTTTAGAATTTTAGAGAGTTTTTCCTACAAGTTTAGATAAACTTCTCCTAGGTTTTAGAGAGTTTTTGGTTTTATGTCTGTTTCAAAAGCAGTTAAATAAAAAAGGTTTTAGAGAGTTTCTTAAGTTAACTATGAGGCCCTTAATGGGCTTCATGTTTTTTGCCTAAAGAAACAATGGGCTTCATGTAATTCCTTTGTGGATTGATTTCTCTGACAAACATACAAAAGGTTGACCCAATAACAAAAATGAAGAAAGCAAAAACCCTAAGGCAGAAAAGAAAATTGAAAAATTAGAGATTATTAGGGTTTAAACTTTCAAAAGCCGAACACTCTTCTTCTTCCTCTTCTTCTTCTTCTTTCGTTGTAGTCACCACCACCAATTCAGCAAACTCCCTGTAGGAAGCCATGGGGGGCTCTCGAGTTCAAGTCAATAAGCCTCACAAGACTCGATTCTCCTCTAAATCATCTCGCAATCTCCACAGAACCTCCCTCCAAGGTAACCCACTAATCTAATCGCCGTCCAATGATATCGTCGTCTGTTTCGATACCTGATAATCTCCCGAAACTGAAATGAATCAGATAAAGGCCGGATTGGTAAATCGGAGAGTAACCATGTCAAAGGTGCCAAGGCTGCTCGTCTTCAGCGTGGCAAGATGGTGATTCCCTTTCTACACTTCCATTTAATCTCCGGCTCTGCAAAGACATTGAATTTCTCTCTTGTTATTTGTTTGTCTTCCTGAATTTAGCTCAGAGAGCAGAAAAGAGAAGCAGTTTTGAAGGAGAAGAGGGCTTCAGGAGGATCTAACAGTCCTCCTCGTGTCATCGTGAGTTTACTTGTTTATAGGAAACCTTTCTACTCAGAAATTTATAGGTTTTATTGATTGCAATTAAATTCCCTTTTATATAATGATAGGTCTTGTTTCCTCTCTCTGCTTCCGTGGATTTGAATTCACTCGGTGAAGATGTTTTGAAGCTATTATCTGCTGATGATTCTGGAGTCACTTCTTCTTCAACAGTTGCATCTTCTGAGTATAAGCTAAGAGCAACAGTACGTGTATTCCCTTGCGTTATTTGGTGACGCTAAGATTGGTTTTTATATATGTACATTGCTACTTAAGTCGACTACATTCTCTGGAAATTCTACAGGTGTTAAAGGCACCCCACGGGGATCTTCTGACATGCATGGAAATGGCCAAGGCATTAGAATTTATTGCATGCGTTTGTTGCTTCCTTCAGTGAGCAGAGTTTGTCATAGGTGCTCACTGAGCTTTTTTTCTTACTTGGAATAGGTTGCCGATTTGATGGCTTTTGTTGCATCTGCAAACTCTCAATCGGAAGAGAATCTCTCGAACATCATAGATTCATTCGGAACTCAGTGTCTTTCTGTGCTTAGATCAATTGGTCTACCAAGTACCACTGTGTTGATCCGTGTAAGTTCTTGCTGCAATTGGTCTACAAGGTCTCTGATATTTCAGACTTTACTTGAAGTTGAGCTTCTTCGGTTCGTGTTGCTTGATTGCAGGACTTACCCAGTGATGTTAAAAAGAAAAATAAGCTGGAAAAGATGTGTGAATCTCAACTTAAATCTGAATTTCCTAAGGATTGTAAGTTTTATCCAGCAGATACCAGGGATGAATTGCATAAGGTAAATTTCCGTGTTTTTTAATATGATTTTACTAAGTTTAGATGATGCAAATCCGTAATTCTGGGCGTGCTTGCAGTTTATGTTTTTGTTCAAGGCACAAAGGCTTACTGTACCTCATTGGCGAAGTGAACGACCATATGTTGTGGCTCAGAAGGTGCTTGTTTTATACTTACATTCATAATATCTAATCTGACGTTAAGAAAGAAAAATGGTTTCTGAAGAAGTAAAATATCTCCGTAATTTTGAATGGTGCATTTAGGTTGGGATGCTGGTGGATGATGAAAGCTCAGGAAAGTGCACTCTACTTCTCTCTGGTCACTTGCGTGCTCGTAAACTATCTGTAAATCAACTGGTAATCAAGCCATTCTACTCTCTCTGTCATGCCTTGTGCTATACATAAAATTGTTTGTCTGATCCCATAAATTTGTTTTCTTTTAAATTAGGTCCATGTTTCTGGCGTCGGTGATTTTCAGCTCTCAAAAGTTGAAGTCCTGAAGGACCCATTTCCATTGAATGAAAGGAAAAAACAGAATTCCATGGAAGTGGATGATTTACATGATGAAGAGGTATATGCTATTTTCTTTAACTAATCATTAATCAATGAACTTTGAGTCTTTTACCTTACAAGATACATTGAGTTGAGCTGGAACAGCACCCTTCAAATAAATTGACAGGCAAACATCCTTATATGGTTGCTGGAAGTGTCTGTCATGATAGTATATTACTGCTGAATTTATGATACCCCTCGTGAAACTCTTTCTTATCAACATGTCTCTTATTAAGAAATAAAATGGTATTTCACGGCCTTCTTCTCTTTGTCAGCTCACTTTCTTCCTTTTTACCTGTTTTTGAATCGACCAGGTATTGAGGTCTCTGCTTCCTGATCCCTTAAAACAAGAGCCTTTAGTCGCTGAAAACACTCCAGATCCATTAGCAGGGGAACAAGTAAGTCTTATTTAATAGAAGAAGGGGCCAGTTTACTTGTGTTGTTATATGTTCTGGAAAGTCACTTGTTCTGTGATACTCCAATTGTGTAGAATTGGCCTACTGAGGAAGAAATGGCTGAGGCTGACAGAAATCAGAAAGAGGGAAAGCCAAAGAAAAGGAATTTGCCACGAGGGACTTCAGAATATCAGGTTTCTGGATGATTTTTAACCTCTTGTTTCTAGCCTCACTTTAATTATTCCCGTCTCTGGCGCAGTTTTCCTCCACACTATGTCATAGTTCGGTGCCTCTCTTATTTTTAGTTGTTTATGATTTGATTTGCAGGCTGCGTGGATTGTGGATGAATCAGATGAAGAGGATTCTGGAAATGGTGATTCCGCTGATGATGGTATGGAAGAGGATCATTATTCCAATCAAAACCAAGATCATTTTTCCAATCAAAACCAAGATTTTGAGGATGATAAAGTAACATTGAACCTGCGGGATACGGATAATGAAACTCATAATGACTCCGAGATGATGGTAAGCGTTTCCTCCATGCGCTTTTGTGACTTACAAACAGTAATTGTAGCTTCTCTGCATTTTATTATGATTGAGCATCTTGATATTAAGTTTTGAACCAATCTGCTCCTTCTTCAGGATGATGAAAACTTGACAAGGGACCAATATGAGGATCAAATGAAGAAAATCAAAGAGGAACATGCTGAGCATGAGGGTCGGTATTTTATTTTTACTTTGGTGGATTTTTTTTTTTATGTATGAGTCGTCATGTGTCTGTGTGTATATGCACATATTCAGTTGAGTCTTGTAGTGTGTCTCAACCTCCCAAATGCTCATTGATTTGGTCTTCCTTGTATTTTATCATTGAGGTTACAGCAAGTGAATTAAAATTTCTATTGTTTCTTCTTCAGAATTTCCGGATGAAGTAGAGACTCCCATTGATCAGCCTGCAAGAAAACGTTTTGCAAAGTACAGGGGTCTCAAATCCTTCAGAACCTCCTCGTGGGATCCAAACGTAGTAACACTGATCTTGATGTGAAGCTCATTATTTTGCTTTTACTGTAAAGCGTGCTAATTCTTATTATTTGTTGGCAAATGCAGGAGTCTCTACCTCAGGACTATGCCAGAATTTTTGCTTTTGATAATGTGGCTAGGACTCAAAAGCTTGTGCTCAAGGAAGCCCTGAAGATGGAAGAAGAAAGCAGAGACGATTGTGTACCAACTGGGTCGTATGTACGGCTGCATATTAAGGAAGTGCCTCTTGTTGCTGCCTCTAAATTATCCTCCCTTGTGAGCACGAAACCCATTATAGGATTTGGGCTTTTACAGCATGAATCCAAGATGTCGGTTCTACACTTCAGGTAATCACCATCTTGCTGTTTATATTTTTGTTTGTTTGTGGAGATCTTGTTTCCTCAGCTAACTTCTCATCGCGTTTAAACTATTATTCTCCGCAGCGTAAAGAAGTATGATGGTTACGAAGATCCTATTAAATCAAAAGAAGAGCTTATGTTCCATGTCGGTTTCCGTCAATTCATTGCAAGGTTTCAATTTTTTTCCCCTGCTTCATCTACCGCAATAGCTTTTCTTGTTTGTAATCTTGAATAACAATGGCTGGGGCAAATTTTCCAGGCCGGTGTTTTCAACCGATAATATCAGGTCAGACAAGCACAAGATGGAGAGGTTCCTTCGTCCGGGATATTTCTCATTGGCTTCTGTATACGGCCCAATATCATTCCCATCACTTCCTTTGGTAGCTCTGAAGATTTCTGAAGGGTCGGATGCTCCTGCCGTTGCTGTCCTTGGTTCCTTGAAAAGCATTGAACCCAACAAAATAATCTTGAAGAAGATAATATTAACTGGGTAAAAATCTTATTACCTTGGTCTTTCCAAGTACAAACGCATATTCTAGTTTGAATACATACTAAAGCTCTGTCGTGTGAACCAAGTAGGATAAAAAGAATATAGTAGTTTAAAGTAATTCTAACCAAGTTTTGAATGTGGCTTGGTTCAGGTATCCTCAGAGAGTATCAAAAATGAAAGCATCAGTCAGATATATGTTCCATAACCCAGAAGACGTGAGATGGTTTAAGGTAAGAAGCAAAATTTGAATGGATTGAAAGATTTATGGTATTATTTAATAATATAAGAGTGAAAAGCTAACAGCTTGGGGATGGAACAATGTGTTTGTGTGCAGCCTGTAGAAGTGTGGTCAAAATGTGGGCGTCGTGGTCGCGTGAAGGAGCCAGTGGGAACACATGGTAGGACATTATTGTTATTATTAGAGAGAGAGAGAGATTTGAGTTTGGTTTCTTGAGAATCTTTGCTAATACAACATGTGGACCGTGCAGGGGCAATGAAATGCGTATTCAATGGAGTGGTGCAGCAACATGACGTTGTGTGCATGAACTTGTACAAACGAGCTTATCCCAAATGGCCCGAGCGTATGTACCCGCAGCTTCTCTGATTCTGAAGATGATGTCCAAGTTTATATATATATATATGATGGATTCACATTCTTACTTTGATATATAACTTATGGACGTGGTTTTGTGCAAGTCCTCCAGTTTTGTCATGTATGCGATAATTATATGTTTCTTTTTTTTGTTCTTATTACATTTCCATTTTTTAATACTATTTCTATTATAAACCGCATTAATCTGAGCAACTGTAAACAAAACGAAGAATGTTAGACTAAGAATGTCAACTGTAAACAAATTTGGAATGATTGAAAGAATGTTAATACAAAACCGAAGGTCTGATCATACTTAGCTACTGCAGCAGCAACAACAGGATTTCAAATGTAACAAAAACTTTCATGATCTCGTCTTGTAGCTTGTTCATGAGCTCTTGTTTAACCGGTTCTATCTTATATTCTCATTACTTTTTGCGAGTTGTTATAATATTTGCATTATTAACTAAATTTATTCGAAAAGAAACTAGTAAAAAAGAAAGTAAAACTTTTACAAAAATACTTACATATTATTTTTGGACAAAAAACGGAAAAATTTACGAAATGTAAACTTAAAAAAAAAATGAAATTGATAATCACGAATGTAAACTCTCAAAATATTCCATAATGCATCATAGCTTTTCTATATATAAATGTCAGTGTTTTTATATGATTATAAAAAAAATTGTAAACTTTGACAAAAATGTTTTAAAGATTTATAGTAAGATGAAGAAAGTTTTAAATTCTTAAAATGAAAATTACTACATTGTAACAATAGAAAAAAAGGAAAAAAGTTTGATCAAATCTATATATAAACATAAATGAATGAGCTTTATTTTTTAATCAATTTCGTTATCTCTTTGACAGTTAAAAAAAAATATTCACGAAGCTAAAATATGAATACAGAATTGAGTTTATCTCAATATGATCCATGTGTTGTTAAACATATTTTAACTGATACTGATTCTAGCTCTGATAAACTTATTCTACCATATGATCAATTTGTTAATTTTATATTTCCAGAGATGGAAGTTGCTATGATCCAGCAAATTGGAGCAGGAAACGGGGTTGAAGTGAAGATCCATATTATAGCAGAAGGTCCTAGAGCCAACGATTACACAGTTTCATTGATCTACCACCGTCACATATTGAGGTTTACAAGAGGATGGAGAGAGATCGTTAGAGCAAAAGGTTACATAACAGGCAATCAGATTGGACTCTGGTGGGATAAACCCACACGAAGATTTATGTTACACCTTATTAGCTAACTGTTTAATATATATATATCAATATGAAAGAGTTTTTTCTAACATTTATTCAGGGGTTTTAATTTATTAGAATACTTTTATTTTTATATGTGCGTTTACTTTTATGTGGGTCTTATGAATTTTATGATAGTTAAATGAAATTTTTTAATATTAAGGTTTGAAATTTGATTGAATGTCAAGTTACCAAAACTCCTCTCTTTCAAACTAACTCCACGTTCCTTCTTTTCGGAGAATGATTGATACAATCGATTAGGTTTCTTCTTCCTCTGTATCATCTTCTTATGATTCGAAACATTTAACGTTACTCATGCTCGTCTTAAAAAGCTTTATCCAAAAAAAAAAAAAAAAAAAAAAAAGCTGCTTTATACTCCTAAGTTGTGACCTCTAGCTACCTAGTAATGATTATTGCTTCATCGGTTGTCTTCTTCTTCTCCAAAATTAGGTTGAGAGCTCTCTGAACTTCTCGCTCGATCCATATGATTGTTAGCTTCAAGAAAACGTACCATGTTCATGTCTTCTTTTATAAGTTTTATGTCATCGAATGAGACATTCCGGTGACAGAATTTCTTCGGATTACTCTCGACACCCACATCGCCTTTTAGAGGCGTCTTTGTACGCTTCAAGAACAATGCAATCGCCAAGACCAGCGAAACATCCACAAAAGTGTTCCAAATCAATTTCAATGATTAACAAAACCGTGACATGAGCCTTTGTCTTTACGCACCATCTTACGCCTTTTCCGAACGGGAATAGTAGGAACCCTAACATGAGCCTTTGTCTTTATAGCTGTTTCAATCTATCAAACTATCAAATCCATTTTATCTTTTTAGTAGGCAGATTACTTATGTGTATTGATGTCATGTGAGCCCGTTAAAATTTACCCCCAACTAATTGAGTTAAACACCGGTCAAGAGTTTACTTTTACAATTGAAACAGGAGTTATGATTGAGCATCTTGATATAAGGTTTTAAACAAATCTGCTCCTTCTTCAGGATGATGAAAACTTGACAAGGGACCAATATGAGGATCAAATGAAGAAAATCAGAGAGGAACATGCTGAGGATGAGGGTCAGTATTTTATTTTTACTTTGGTGGATTTAATTTTTATGTATGAGTCTGTGTATATTCAGTTGAGTCTTGTTAGATGTAGAGTGTCTGAATCTCTCAAATGCTCATTGATTTGGTCTTCCTTGTATTTTCTCATTAAGATTACACAGCAAGTGGATTAAAATTTATATTGTTTCTTCTTCAGAATTTCCGGATGAAGTAGAGACTCCCAATGACTGTTGGTACTGGGCCTGGCCAAGGCCCATCTCATCAGCTCGGCCCAAAATCGACTCTCAGATTCAAAAACCAGCTCGGCCCAAAATCAATCCAACCCGAGAAGAAGAGGTTTTCGACCGGATTCAAAGACAAAATCTAAAACAGACAGGTCGGCCCAAATACTCAACAAGGCCTATTTAGCCAAAAAGCCCGCGAAGCCCAATGAAGCCACCACCCTAATTCTCTATAAATAGGACCGTACCCTGTACGAAAAAAGACATTCATTACTCCAGATTTTACGGAATTAAGCTTTAATTACGCATTTGTAAGAGTTTCTCCTTTTTGGAGATCGGCTTTCGTATTTAGAGCTTCTCACTTGGGATCCCAATTTGTGGGAACCCTCTTTCTAGTATATTTGACGAATCCGTTCTGTAATCTTTCGATCCTTGTTATCAATAAAATACGAATTATCCAAGGTTTGAACTTAAGGTTCACCAGTTGGCGCTCCAGAGAGGATGATTCAGGTTTTAAAGATAACAAGTCAAGATGACAGAACCGATTCCGTCCACAGTCGGCCCGCCGACCTCCACCGCGTCACCAACGCCGACCTCATCGATACCGCTCATGCCGACCCCCATGGTATCATCCCTGCCGACTCCCTCGTCTACAGCATCGCTTTTGCCGACCCCGCTGGCGCCGGAGGAACGCAGTCCGATAACGTCTCTAGAGCAATCTTATGCAAGACCGACGTCAATGGCTTCTGCCTACCGCACGTACACTCCACCCACCGGACCGGTCTTTTTGGCAAGGTCGACAGGATCAGTCCCTGCGACTAGATCTTCCCTCGCCACAACGAACGCCCCAAATCCGACGATGTCTCCCGCAAATTCCCCGGCACAGCCTGACGTGTCGAGCCTACTCCAAATGCTCATCACCCAAATGACCGAGAGCACGCGTGGAATGAACGAGAGACTCGACGACCTGGCCACAGCGCAACACGTTTGCCACAACAGGATTGACGAGCTCCACAATCGAGGCAACGAGCAGACGCCGGCCACAACCGCCTTCGGTCCACGTCTACAACGAGCGTTATTTGAAGACTTGGACGCTAGTCCAAACGAGCAGGCCGACCGGTCCCGGACAATCGGCCGAGCACGAGCAAACCAGAGACATTCGGAAAACGATGGCGTCCGAACCTTGGAGCAGCCGACCCCGCAAGAAGCCACCGTCGGCAACCCCAATCACCAGGATCAACGACTAAACAGCGAATTCGAAGCGATGAAAGCTCAACTGCAACGGATGAGCTCCCAGGTTCATCAGGCAACAAGCTCGGTCCCGGAACTCGACCGCGTGCTAAAGGAAGCCCAAAACACTCCATTTACAAAAAATATAACCAATTTCCCAGCTCGCCACCCGGGAAAAGTTAAAGTAACACCATACGACGGCACCACAGATCCCACGGGATTCATACAATCTTTCACGATTGCCATGGGGCGAGCCCAATTCCAGCCGCATGAACGCGACGCGGGATACTGTCAGCTGTTCGTTGAGAACCTGACAGGCGCCGCCTTGAATTGGTTCTCCCGACTGAAAGCTAACTCAATCGACAGCTATGAAGATCTATCGCTAGCATTCCTTCGACATTATTCGATGTTTATCGATCACGGAGCTCGCGAATCCGACCTTTACACGCTCCGCCAAGGCTCGAAAGAATCATTGCGGTCATACATAGGCAAATTTAAAAATATCGTCTCCAGATTAGTTGTGTCCGACAACGTGGCTCTCCCCGCACTCCGAAACGGACTTTGGTTCGAGTCCAGCTTTTATGAAGAACTGAAAAAGAACAGACCAAGCAGCCTAGAGGACGCGCTTCATCGCGCAACAATCTTCATCGAGATCGAAGAAGAGAGGGCCGAAAAAACTAAGAAGTATGCCGCCCAAAAAGTATCGACCCCGAAGGAAAAACCCAAGGAAGAGTACTACGAGCCACGACAACACTACGACAGCAGTTACAACCATAACAAAAACAACCGAGCTTCCACTTTTGCTGTCACAGGCACACAAACCAATTCGCAGCGTTCCAGCAGGTCGAACAAATACATCCGAGGCCAGAACGATTCATCCGGAGGATCCAAGTCATACTGCGACTTCCACAAGATATTCGGACATTCCACTGAAGAATGCCGAGCATTACAAAACACCCTGATGACACGATTTAAGGAGGACCTCAGAGAGTCTGGAAGTGGCGCTTCCCAACAGCCCGCCGACCAAAGCAAGAATGCTCAGTCAAAAAACGAAGACGAACGTTTCCGACTAGCCCAAATAGAGGCCAAGAAGTCGCCGACCGACGCGACAACAAACCAACAGGCCGGCCCCATCGATTCAGACATGGAGCCACCAAAGCGCGGACGAGACGATCAAGAAAAAGGGAGCGGCCAGGGTCCTCCAAGGCGAAGGATTAATATGATCATGGGGGGAATTCCATCATGCAGAGACTCAGTACGATCAATCAAGGACTACGAAAGGAAATCCACCGCAGTCCAACTTTGGAGACGCAACCCCGACGACGAGCTCAAAATCGGTGCCGACATATCCTTCGACGAAACTGACACCGATGGACTCCACACACCGCACAACGACCCCTTGGTCATCGAACTCAGGATCGGAGACTGTGAAGTATCTAGGGTCTTGATCGACACCGGAAGCACCGTCGACCTAATGTT